CGTTATCTATCTATCTAATGTTATCTATCTATCTATCTATCTATCTATATCTATCTATCTATCTATCTATCTTTGGACTGTGGAAGGAAACAGGATGATACAAACCCCTGATCCTCCTCCTCCCATGCAAACTTATTTCAGTGTTGATGCCAGTGTAAAGAGTTTGCTCTGACTGAGATCATGTATCTGTTGTGTATTGCACTTTGAGTCGTTTCTTTACAGACCCTGAACTACAGCGCGGTTGTATCACACAACAACATACCATCTTTGAAAAGTTTGTTCGCCTCTTCTAAAACCTCTGTGAGCTTGTTGTTGGAGGGACTCAGCATGTCTTCCCTGTTCTCTGAAAAAAACACAACAAGCAAAAACACACGTTGTCAACAAACAAACAAACAAACAAACAAACAAACAACCCCAACCTCTCGCCCACCTGTCTGTCCATGCTTTTACTCACGTTGCACTGAGTTGATGAGGTCTCTGTACTTGCTCCGGATTTCTCTCCGGAGTCCCGGGTCATTGTCGTCGTCCTGCAGGTCCGCTGGACCGAAAGCACCTGCACCGTCGTCCCCGTCACTTTGCTGTTGTTCTCCTTTCCTTCGGCCGGCGGAGCCATTCTGCCGGGGAGCTTCCTCATCACCGCCGCCTCTGGCTCTCTTCATCGTTAGTGAATGAGCTTTATGTGTGTGTGTGTGTGTGTGTGTGTGGGTGCTGAGAGAGGGGAAACACAAAACAGGTCCAATATAGTTACAATAAATATCCAATAGTTCAATAATTGACTACATTCTGAGCACAGCTCTTGAAGAAATAGTACGTTGCAGATATAATGTGAATGGGGATTGCGTTGTTTAGTTGTTTAACGTTATGTTTTAATGCAACGTTAGCTAACCCTAACATAGCCAAAGAGGTTGGTAAAGTCAAGATATAAATCCGCTACTCGAGGCTCATTTGCAAGATTGGCCCAGCGGGAAACGTTAACATGCGTCAGATTTAATAAAAGTTAATGGACGTATTGTGATTCATATAATACAATCGACCTGCCGACGTCGTACTGTGTATGTGCGAAATGAGACCGAACCGTAGTTAACGTTAGCTACTGAAAAACGATATTAACTTACTGAGCTCTAACACAAACATTTGTTTAATTAGACTTACATTAAATCTCAACCGAGCACAGGTCTGCAGTTACTGCGAACAGCCCGACAAACATCCTAAAGCAGATAAAAAAAACATTTTAAAAACAAAACCCCGGTCGACTACCGGCAAAAACCTGAAGCAAACTTCTGCCGAGCCAACGGCAGACGCAAACACGGAAGTACTGAACAGTTCACCATCTCGTCTCAGACGTCTGCATCTTTGGTCTGTGTGCTAGCGTTAGTCGACGTTAGCTAGAAAATCCACTGAGTTAGCGACTTAAACTGATTGTCCGGACTCTTGACTCTCCCGCCGCAGGAGATATCACACTACAAGTAAACTCACAACACGGCCTGGTTGTTGTTAAACTAATTCCCTTTGTTTTTCTCGCGGTAACTTCGACATACCTGTGTTGCAGACAGAAGGCGCGCCGAGCGGTTCATCAATGTTGACGAAGACGAAGTCAGTTTTGTGATGGTGGCCGAACTGAAAGTGGAAAAAGTGAAACTTCCTCCCCCCAAAAAATAAATGATAATAATAAATGAAGCTTTATTTAAAATACTAAAAATATTTCTGCCACATAAAAAAATGCAGAAAAATAAATAGGTTAATAAAAAAAGAAGAAGAATTAAAAGTATAAATGCAATAAAGAACATTTATTTGGTGAACACAGGGTTTCCACGTTTTAAGGCAATTAAATAATCATTAAGGGGAACCAATAAACACAGGTGGGAATGTGTTTGTAAATATTCTACCAATGCCACTAGTGTGGTCAAACCCCTTACTTCTAAACATGTGAGCTCAGTGTTGATGCTTTTAAATTAAATGGATGTTATGTTATGTTATGTTATGTTATGTGGCTGTAAGATGTTTTGATCCTCAGGTTTGAACACATCATGAGCTCAGAGGAAATGTGGGGATTTTACGATACCACAAAGTGCTATTAAAAATATTATTATTGCGTCAAGTAGATTATGACATTAAGACAAGAATCCCCTGATGAATAAAATAACTAATTTGTTGCCACAGAGAGCAAATTGGTCTTGATTTGCAGGCTGCCTAAAATGTGCATTTGTTGACTCTGTTAAAAAAATAACCTAAAATACTGCCTACATTAGAGACTTCACTTTATTGATCCCTTTGGGATGACTCCCTCAAGGAAATTGAATTTCTAGCAGCTTACAAAACACTTGTATAATAGAAAATAAAAGAGGTATAAAAAAAATACAATATAAGATAAACAATAAACTCTTAGCTAAATATAGAAAGTAAGTAATATAAGAATAAAAGTATAAAATTCAAGTAAAATAAAATCAAATAAAATAAATAAATGTAGAGAACTGTATAGAGGATAAATATAGATAAATATATAGGACTGTATATGGCATTGTGTTTATTATTCTTAATAAATACTGAAACTGAACTATTTAAAAAGTAAATATACAACTAAAAATAGATTTTGATTTTGTACACACAGTATATTCCCTCCCCCCTCTTTCTTTTTGCTAAAGTTTAAAAACAAAACTGCAGCTCAAAGTTTCACATTTACCGACGAGAATGACACCAACTTCAGTAGTCGTCGTCATCAGGCGGTCAAAGCACGTCAGCGCGTCCACGTGGTCATCCCACCGTCACTCGCCGGCAGGGTGCGCGCTATGATAGTTCTTTAGTTCTTCTTCTTTATTCTGTATTTTGGTTGTTGCTGTTGTCGTGGTAACCAGAAGCGTCCTCTCTCCGTCACTTCCAGCTGGGATCATTTGTAGTTTCCTTCACAACAACGGTGGAAGTGAACGGTTTTTGGACATTTTTCTATTTTTTTTTTTAAATTATTTAAATAAGTTTTTAATCTGTTTACCTGAAATTATTATTATTATTATTTTTAATAATTTTTTTTTTTAGAATTTTCGCTTGAAATAATTAGAGAAAACTTTCCCTTTTTAGTGTGTGTGTACTGAATACTTAAATGTATTACACTCAAATTGTTACTCAACAAATTGTAAAAGTCATCCAGATGTATGCTTTATTTAACTTTTTTTTTTTTTTACTCATTTTTTGTAGCCTTTGAATAAAGCTGTTTTAAAATGTTTGGAGGAAACATTTTAAGCCTCCCTGTGTGTCATTTAGTTACAGCTGAGGTAGAGACAGTGAGCTGCTATTAAACTGCTGCTTGTCTGGAAAGCCTCTGCTAATCCCTCCATGACCTCTCCGTAGTGGAAAGACTGACTGAGACTGTGCCGGAGCACCACAGGAGCAGGAGCAGGAGCAGGAGCACATTGCTGCAGCGCCTGAAGTCTTCCAGGTAATTCAGCTGTTTTTTCTTTTGCATCATGGAGCAGCTGAGGTCCACCTCTCCAGGGCTTCATTTGGACCTGAACAACTTTGACTCGGCCGATGCGCAGAGGAGCCCATTTGTTTTAACAAGCCCCCGCTCGCTGCAGTCCTGTGCACGTCTGGGTGTCAAACCTGTTGAACTTCTGATTAAATCCCTGAACGAGCTGATTGCTGAACAGAATGATGCGCCCTTCGAGGCGGTGAGAGTTATGCATGAAACCTACGAAAGGGAGAGAAAGAAGCTTTTGCAAATGTGCCGGGAGGAGAGGGAGAGGATTATCCAGGCGGCTGGGGACAGGTGGCCAGGTGGTGAGAGTAAAGGCCTGGAAGTGGTCCCTGAAACCAAAGATCTCTCACCGGGGTCCATCCCATATGCAGATCTGTGCATTAGAGGGAAATCTATAAGCAGGTCCTCCTGTTCGGTTGCTGGTACCAAACACCCGGACAGGAGCACAATCTGCAGCTTCAGCCTGGGAGACCTCCGGCACTCCCCGGCGACTGAGATGCAACTGGAGAGGCTCACTAAGGACATCAGGAAGGAGATGTGTGTCACTGTGCCGGAGAGAGACCGCAAGATAGCAGCTCTCATGCTGGTGAAGCACGAGGAGGAGCAGGCCTCCCTGAAGCTCTCCAAGCAGGAGGAACAGGAGCGCCAGGAGGCCCGCAGGCAGGAGGAGAACCAGCGGGCTGAGGCAGAGAAGAAGAGGAGGAAGAAACTGAAGCAGAACATGCAACGGTGGCGTGGGGAGCTGGAGGCCCGCAGGAGGCTGAGGGAGCTACGGGAGGAAGAGAGAGCCCGAGAACGTGAGCAGGAGGTGCTGCTGCAAGAAGACAGGTGGAGGAGGCTGAAGGAGGAGGTGGAGGCAGAACGCAGGGAAAAGATAGAGGCGGCACAGAAAGAGGCAGAGGGGCGCAAACGCTGCCAGGAGAAGCTGCTGAGAGAGAGGGAGGAAGGGGAGAAAAGGGAGCGAGAGAGGGAGAGACAGGCAGCAGAGGTGAAGGACCAGAATGCCAGGAGGAGCAAAGTGTCGCAGGAGAAGAAGGAGAAGAAGAGGCTGGAGGAGGGGAATCGCAAGGAGCTGCTCCGGCACGTACTGCTGAAACAGCAGGTGGAGCAGCAGGTGGAGGAAGAGGAGGCGCAGATGAGGAGCACCCTGGAGAAGAAGCTGCAACACTCCTGCGAGATACGTGCCCGGGCCGTAGAGGCACGGCAGAGGGAGCTGCAGGAGCGGGCAGCCCAGGAGGAGGAGCAGATCCAGAGGGCGCGCCTCAGGGCCGAGCTGCAGAGCTTCCAGCAGCTCACACACAAACAGATCCTGGTGCAGCTGAGCCAGCGGCGCATGGAGAGAGCCGCCCTGCACACCTCGGCCCGGCACAGGGCCAGAGCCCAGCAGACACACGAGCACAACCGACACAGGCAGCTCTGCCACCAGAGGCTGAGAGAGAGGATGCAGAGAGAGGAGGAGGCGATGAGGAAGGTCAGAGAGAGCTGCATCTCCGTGAAGGAGTGGAAGAGGGAGAGGCTTCGGATGCAGCGGGAGCAGATACAGGAGGAGGCGCACAGGCTGGCTTTGGCCTCCTTTCACATGAGGGAGAGAGTGAGACAGCAGACGCACAGAAGAACCTTTGATCAGATGGCTCTGGAGGCTCAGCTGACTGCCTCCATGCACCACATGAAACTATGAAAGAGACGATTAACTCCCAACATCAGCACCTCCTCGCACATGCTTCAGCACAGCTCAGGCAATAATCAGCTCATACAGAGGTAGAATAGGAGCTGTGGTAAAATAAGAAAAAAACAATCCGGAAAACATCCCCTCCTATCTGCAATCTAGGAATGTAAAGACATGCCATACAAGTATCTGAATGTGTTATAACCAGTGTGCTGCTGTAGGGTGAATGGTGGGGCCCATGAACATGCTGTGGATCATTTGGTGTCAGAGATGTTTCCACAACTGTGATTTTAGGAGTTTAATGACTCACAAACACACATTTCATTTGATATAATGCTGCAGTGTAAGAGTCCCTGAGATTGTGCCATATATTTTCCATTTCTCTTGTTTACAATGGTATTTAAATTCCTAAAAGTTTAGAATGAAACTGGAGTGGACCATGTAGTGTCCTGCCATCAGGAGAATAAACTCTAAAGCAGTGCTTGAAGCTTGTTGTGTCCCCTTAATATCAGGTTGCATATATCTGTGAGCTGTAAACAACTCACTGTGTGATTTTCTCTACACTGTGTGATTTTCTCTAGTCTACATCATCTTGTAAGACCTGTGATTTATTTGACCAGCCCTGTGAGCCACTCCGCTTCATTGTTTTTCTTAGATAAATACACACATAATGACTTTGTTTGTTACAACCCATATTGGATGGAGGTTTATGGTAACAAGGAGTTTGTATCAAGTGATCCACCATAGCACAGTGTGGTCTTACAGCCCTACAATGGTTGGCTTTATAGGGCGGAGGATCAGGCTGCAGACCAGAGAGTTAAGGGTTAAATTGCGGTCTGTAGCCATTGGGGTGCCTGAGGGCTGACATCAGTGTTTTTAATATGATATGAGCCACCATTAGCAGCCAGTGGAGTGCAGATAAGAGAGGAATTGTGGGACGTTTTCAGGAGGTTGAAGATGAGCCAAGCTGCAGCGTGATGGTTAATGTTTAGCTGACCATTGTGTTGTTTTTGTGGTCGTCTGACTATCGTCAGTGTCTCACCATGTCACCATGTCTCACTAGAAGCATCTAAAAATGTTCTCTATGTATTAGGTAGGGCAGATTAGGCAGAACTGTTATTACATTACAAGTTTAAAGCAGAACCATAATTTATGGACTCAAGTAGAATAACATTTTTAAGTGTAGGACATAAACATAAAAGCTCATAATGCATCAATTCTGTTCTGGACCATAAGAAACTGCTGAATTTAGCCATTAGTGGTGTGATGTTGTATAGCATATATATTGTGTAATAATCAGATTGCTATGAGAATCAAGTTTTGTATATATTTGTATTAGATTGGCTAACTTTTTGCATGTTTTATTAAATCTTAATTAATAAATCCTTCTTCAAAGTGTGATGTTTTGTTCCCATATTTCTATTTAATTCTGGAGTAATCCTACTTAGCACACCTGTGCCCAGCTCCCCCGGGGTAGCTGATAAAAAGCAGGTGCTATATGACACTTTGGCCATTAAATATGAATCAGCATCAGATAGTTTACCTCTGTATCAAAAAACACGTTTGAAGACCAAAGAAAACCAGACATTAAGCAGTGGGATAAGCTATCATAAAATGAAATACATTTTTTAATTTGCACATGCTAAAAAGGAGAGAGAAACAACAGGGGTCATTAGCAAATAGATAACAAATAAAGTTAACATGATACAGTTATGTTCTGTATCTGCTGTCAGTCACCTGTTTCTGTTAGACTCACATCATTTAACAGGAGCTGCTGGACTTCCTACTTATTGCTGCTGATGTTCCTCCTCACATCCGCTGTACTATGAAACAAATTACACCACTGCACAAAATCACAAGGATATCACATCCTTTGTCTTGATTATCTGCACTATTGCACATTCATGGACTAAAAGTCTGGAGCTGGTTTCAAGCTCCAGACTGTACAAACAAGGAAGACATTATTTTAAAATGTACAACCTAGATCTCCTATTGTTTGGGTAACAGATTATTTGATTGTTCCTGTAATTCTATCAAGTTACTGGGATTTCCACCTTCAAAAAAGCCATGTCCTCGGTATCTTTGTCAGACATAATAAAAGAGCCCCAAGAGGGCTTACTGAATTCAAACTTGGCAACAAATTATACCTTGGAATGGAAAATCAGTCCACTGAGGACAATATATTAGCTATCAAATTCGTTGCACATACTGGAAAGCTCTTTGATACACAAACAATAGCTGGACCAAGGTAAGCTCTCCTTCAAGGCACATGTTGTCCGCTCCATCATTGTTCTATCCCAGTAGTTTACACTGTACAGTATATTAGACAGAAGCTCAGTTTTCCCCTCAGGCACAGCGGCCCTTAGCGCCACACTTAACTGCCCTGGCATTTCTTTTTCAGTCGTCATGCAGCCCAAGAGCGAGCACCATCGGGAGCCCGATCCCAAGGATGAGAGTGAGGCTCTCCAGGAGCCCCAGGTGTAAATGCTGGTGGGCCTCGGCTCCGGGGGGCTGCTGGAGGTCGGAGGCGGGCTGGCCTGTCCTGCTGCTGCTGATCTCAGGGAGAACATGCACTGTGGCCACGTAGAGGAAAGTCCCGGCGGAGAAGAGCATTCCCACGCCGGTCGCACTGAGCTGGCTCTGATATGAACTGGCAGACTGTGGACACAAACACAAGTCAGATAATACTGAACCACCAGCTGAAACTGTATAATGACTGTGATATTACACGTCTTCTATCAGATGGACACAACATGGCTGATGTGTGCTTACTGCGTGTAGTATGAAGTACGTGGGGATGGCAACTATAGGTGCAGCAGCAGAAAAAGCCAACAAATGTCCCTGAATGTACTTCTTTTCAAGGCCTGCGTGCATCAGAAAGGAGACCAAACCAAAAGCTGCAGGAGCCTAGGAGTGAAGAAAGATGAGTCAGGTCTTATTATCAGCTCTTTTACACCTTGTTTGTGGTCCGTACTACCATATATTTAGCTCTCAGGGAACCTCACCTTGTGTAGAATGACAGCAAAAAACACTATCACTTGCACTGTCACCTGCCCCGTGGCCACAGCAGCACCCAGAGCAAATCCATCAGCTATACGCAAAACAAAAACCTTATTAATGGTCACAAAAATCTACTTCTTCAATCCATGTTTGTGGATTTTCTCAACAGCATTGAACATGAGTCTGGTTTGATGTTTTTTGCCACACTGCATGCCAGGTTTTTTGCCAAAGTTGGATGTGAGCTGAAGCTAAAGCCTCCAGGCTGTGCTATAGACTGAAATGAAGTCGTTTAAAACATAAAAGACTTCAACAGTGAAGGAATCACATGCCGTGTCACATGAGGAAAAGAACAACACCAGTGCTCTGCTGGGAATTTTCCATGCTTGTGGTCTGGAATTCCTTGATACATCCTGTGTACCTTGGGCAAACAGTGTGAAGTGTACATTAAATGTTAGATCAGTAGTCAGTACCTGCAGCGTGAATCACCAGCCCCAAAGTGGCCGTGATGCCAACACGGTTCGTTTGGCCTGAAATGAGACACTGCAAGGTAAATAAAAAGATGTGTGTACAGGTGTTAATCTGCAAAATGAAACTGGTGTGAGAGCTCTGCAAACTTGCCACGCATGGAAAGGTAACTTCCAATCTGATCCACCACAAACATGAGGGTGAACCCGAACGTTAAAGCCACCCCGATGAATAACCGAGGCGGCGGGCCCCTTTCTGTGGAAGTTGCATTCGTATCACTGGCATTCAGGCCGGATGGTACATCAGAGGAGGAGGAGGAGGCTGCAGAGAGAAGATGAAGGACGGGAAGAGCTTTTGATCAAATCCACATGAAGGCAGAGCGTCACACATTTAGCCTGCTTTCATCCTCATGTGCTTGATCTCAAGGGGGGGGGGTCACAATCAAACGCAGGTGTTAAGTTTAGTGGTGAGGAAGAAGTGGATTATGTGTGATCGGTTGAAAACCAAAAGGGAACGGGGAAAAGCTCAAGGCTGTGAGTCCAGTTGTGTTTGCATACACTGCTCACCTCTCCATGACTCTTCCAGTAAGCCCACTCCCTCTGGGATGACTATAGCCAGTGCTGTCCCACACAGGAGTCCTGCCCCCAGGATGGAGACAAACTGGAGGCTTTTCTGGTGACAGACACATGATTTCAGCTGGTTCTCCCCCCCACCACAGTTTATTTGTCAGACACAACCTGGAGCGGTTTCTCAGATTTCCGTGACAGTAAGCAAATAATGCAGCAGTAAGGCTCATTCATGAAGGTAAAAACATTATCTCCGGGTGTAAATCATTGTAATGCATCATGTGTATGTGGGCAGCCCTCCAGTTGCTAAATCAGTTGAACCACGGATTAAAATAAACCTTTGATGGACTGAATCGTTTGATGGAAATCTGCCAATAAATAAAATAATAAAATAAAACACAAGAGGACACTCACCTCAGAGAGTCTGAACAACAGTGGGATGAATCCAAGTAAAAAACAACCTACAAACATCGCAACTGATATCAAAGTGATAGTCAACCCGCCGTCCATGGCGACTATAGGTAGTTCCTCACTCAGGTGGAGACTCAGTTTGCAGACATGTTACATGTTAGCGTTAGATCCTGCTCTCAGATCCGGTTCTCATGCTGTCGCTGGAGAGAATTCGTTGCATTGAAGGAGATAAGTTGACATTCTGGCTTTCCACGTCGCGCCTCGGTCTGTCTGCTCTGCACAGCTGCACTTCCCTCCAGAGCAGCAGCACCCAGTGTCTGACCCCGAGAACTGCACCCTGCGCTTATCCTTTGCTGGAAGACTGTTTTAAATAGATATTAAATATAAATAATATATATAAATATATTGATTTAAATTAAAGAGTAACCACTACTCCAGGCACCACTACACCGCTGGGAAAATATATATTTCTGCTACATCACCTTTTTTTATGATATAATTTTATCTCCTCAGGCCTCTAAAACTAAAATACATAAGAAAAAGAATATTTGTGTGGTTGAATTATTCACAACCAGTAGACATTAGATGTGTGTCCAAGTTTAAAAATGTAATTGACTAATTAGTTGTTAAAAATGGACTGCAAAACCAAATAGGCTATGCAAATAAAACAAGAGAAAATAAATATCAATAAGGTGATATAAGGTGATCAATATTCTATATTCAACAGAACAATATAACCTGTATTATACATGTTTAACCTGAAAATGCAGACACCAAGATTTTTAGCATTAAAAATAGACCATATTCACAGCTGGAATGATTTTAAAATTGTAATCCTGCTAATAATTTAATAATAATTTTAATAAATGTAACTGTAATCTGATCTAATCTTTTTTCCTGTAACTGATGAACTACGCCTTTTTCTGTATCCAGATTACATAACTCTGTTACATGTAATCCCACTGTAAAGGTGACATTAAGTATACTCCAGCATGCATACTAAATGTTTGATTTTTCAGTGTGCTGCTCATAGACACTATTCTCCCATAATGCAATGCACAAAGGAAATAGAGGCGGTGCTTGCAGCTTTAAATAAATAAACTGTGGGTAGTAAAGCTTGAGATCTTAAAGTCTGTATGAAATTGAACTGACAGTGACTGTATAAAATGTGGCTGTGTGACTGACATCTAATGGAGCATGTATTGTGTCATTTCCTGTTCGTGTTTGTTTTGCGTGCCACTGAAACAGTATACCTTTAAGTTTATGATGTATAGATTTAGTATTGAGTAGAGTTTTGGGACACACAAGACACACTGAATATCCGTTACACAGCAACATGTATCATCAGATTGCCAACATTAGCCACCAGAAGCTGCTGCTCGCCAGACCAAGTAAAGCTGTAGCAGTAAAAAGAGTGTATTTTGATGTGTTATTTCTTCTTTTAAATTTACATGTTGTCGCTTTAAGTGACTATGTGCCGGGCATAGTTAAAAAAAAAAACTCATATAGTCAACAAACTTGATTAAATACAGATTTATTGTTTCAAAGGCTGGGGGGTACAGATATATTTCAGTATATATCTGTTGTACAGACGGCCCTTTGGAGATAATAATAAAATGAGCAAGTCAAATGCTGAGATCTGCCATTGTTACTCTTCCTATCTAGAAATATGTAGGAACATAAAAAAAAAAAAAAAAAAAGAAGCAAAGCAGACAAAAACACATTCTAATTGTGCACAGTTTTCAGGCGCAGAGACATCTTACCACCCTTTCTGAATACATTATAGAAACAAGCTGAGAACTTCTATTAGAGGGTGCTTGGCTGTTTCCAAAAAAAAAAAAAAAAAACAATCCATCTATTTCCAGTGAGTCCCGCTGTCTATGCAGATCTTATGAAGATACTCTAAAATAAACTGAGGATCCTAGACTTGGAATTTAGCACAAGACTACTGGAAATCATTTCAACCATCAGACTGTAGATCTGTACTCTAATGAAATGCCATAACATGGGACTGGACACCAGTAAGTTATTTTACAGTATAAAACATACAATTTCTGGTTAGCTAATGAACCCTCCTTTTGAAGCTGTTTAAATACAGCAATCACACGATTACTTAAGCCACTTTCATATTACCAAAAGTTGTGGAATTAATCTACATTCAGCGTTTAAGCACTGGAGTTGTTAGACAAGATGAGAATTTTTTTTTTTAAGTATCTCCCTCAGAGCTGGACAGTATACGTTATTTTGACAGGACACATTCAGAGATTTCAAGACATCTCGGAGGTATAAAAATGAAGAGGTATAAAGTATAAAATCACCTTATCATGACTAGAAGAGCACCAGACTCAATGGTGTCAAACAATTGTCTTGTTAGTACCATAATTATATAGTCATATGTGGTGCGAATATATCCATGAACAAATTATGGAAACAGTTAAGGTTCACCATTGTCGTCATTGCACCCGCCCACAGGGGGCGTGCCCTTCTCTGTCAATCATTTAAGTGAAAGTAAGATTAGTGCACATTTCCCGCAATGGTTCTCTGAGCAGCTGGACAAGACGTGTTTCATATTATGGTCCAATAATAATAAATGGTCCACAGTGACAGACTGCAGTGGTACTGTGTCTGCAGCACTTCGCCTTGCTTTACCAACAATCTTATTTGTGTTTAATGGGGCGGCACATAGTGTTGTCTTGACTATGAAAGAAAGGAAATGACAGAAACAAGAAGCTTGATAAATCCTGAGTAAGGTCGTAACTGTGTGGGAACTGCATTTTCACATTATAATTTGTTACTTAGTATTTGTTAAAGTATGCATTTTTGTCTTCCTGATACCTGAAAAGAAGCAGGTTAATATGGCTGAGGCAGATCTAAAATATGTTAAACATTTAATCTACATGTTTCATGATCAAGTGTGGAGTAGTGCATGGCTATTGCTCTTGGCAGAGGCCTTACAAAGCTAGTAACTCGATCTGCAAATGGAACCAACAACTGTGTAAGTCTATCACTTATTACTTCATAACAACGAATAGAAGGAAAACAATGAATATATCTTCCATTTTGTTTTAAATGTCGGGAGGGCATAGTGGTATTGAATTGCATAAAGCTAAAGTTTCAAAAAATGAGTGACTAAAACATAGATCTGATCCACAGGTGTAAGTCTCTTGAGTGGCCTAGCCTAAGGTTTGATATGTTATCACCAAAATTGCGCAAATCTGAGTTAAAACAATCTACAACTCAGCATTGAGTACTGGCAAATGGGAAACTGTAACAATTCTCAATGGCCACTGGAAGTTACAATACGCTACCTACTTGACCAAGTGTCTACATAAAAGTTAGCACTGAAGAGGACTTGAAGAGGGCCGAGTGATAAAATATAGATTAGCTCATTCGTAAAACTATCAGTAGACACCTTAACTGAATGCTAATTTCAAAATCTTTACATAAAGACGTAAACATACTGTCAAATAAGATACAAATGAGAACAACAGATAAAGAGAACCAGTCACAATAAGTATCATCTGAAAGTGACCCACAAAAAAAAAAAAAACTCAAAAAAGGCCTTTCTCTTCATCCTCTGAGCAACACAAAGGGATCAGCAGGCTCCTGGCCTCCAGTCCCCCTACTGGGGCAGCATCAGTAGCAGCAGTCCAACAGCAAGTCCCAACAAAGGCTCAGAGACTGAACGTCTAAAAAAGATCATAATTAATGTAGTGTTCCAAAATATTATCTTCTTCAACAGTTTAGGGGTATATCAAGCTTGGTAGCATTTAAAATTCAATGCCTACAAATAAATACCATGTCAAAAAAGGCTATTTTACAAATCCAGAGTTTTGTAGCTGTACAGTGTCAAAGCGAGGAGTGTTAGTAGCAGTGATTTCTTTCTTTTTTTGTTGTTGAAAGGCTTCTATGGAATTGGAAGAACCATTTTGAGACCATCACATCAGCACAGACCAAGCTATCTGGTAGAGTGGAAAACTCCTGTTTCTCCCCCTGTGCCAGCTGCTTATTGAGGGGAAGCATATACAGTAGTGCAGACAATTAGAGATACTGACAAAGGATTACAGGAAAATCCCTCCACCGTTTGAACTTGAAGGCATGCTGTACTACAGTACCTTAGTGAAACTCGAGCTTATAGGACAGGTCCTCTTTTTCAAGTGCAGTAATGTTAAGGAAATACCAGAATATTAATCCCCTTACAAGACAAGGCAAAATATTCTTCATTTGTGCATTAGTGTCTTTCTTTCAAGGGTCCATGTGCAGTGTTTCGCAGTGTCTTGAGCTTTATCAGGACAGTAGGATGTTGCTGCCCTGCTGCATTGTCAGAGTAGATTCCCTCTGCAGGTACACAGACAGAAGACGTTGTTTGGTGAGACCCAGTAAAAAGTCCTTGAGCGACAATCCATTTAATCCTTAGTAGACAGTGTGCTTATGTTAGTGTAGAGTCCCTCCATGGAGGTTGAGATGCTTTGGAGAACTGTTGGTTCAGTTCCTGGTTTAATTCACATATTCAGTGCACTCCTCCAGTTAAACTCAGGGGATTTTTATTTTTCTGGTCCAGGGAGTATCAGTGTCGCACTTCATTATCAATGAGGCTGTCCTCACCAGACTGGAAGTCCTCATTTAGGCCATTTTCCACATTTATTATTTCCTCGTCCTGCGAGGACCCCTGGCCGTCTTCCTCGCCACTGCCTGAACCAGCCTCCTCTGAATTTGGGTCTTGAAGTACCTGAGCAATGTACATTTGCTGTAGGGGAGAAAAAGATATAGAATTTTTAAAGTTTGAAAGGATTTTTTTAACAGTAAACAATGTTCCATTAAAATAAGTCATACATTTAATACCACTAATGTGTGACTGAAGTCTTTTCATTACAAAATATTGCAGAAATAGAGGGTAAACCAATTAGACGCATTTGGCTAAAATATTTCATAAAATATCTTAAATGGATGAATGCTTGTCTAAAATATTTGATAAACCCTCTCCTTGCATTTTCTCAAGATACAAAAACACTGATCTCTACCTTTTTGCTCCATCCTTAATTTATTTTCTCATCTTTGTTGCCCTGGTAGCTCACCTGGTTGAGCATGTGCCCAACGTACTAAGGCTGACTCCTTACTGCAGCGGCCCAGGTTCAATTCCAACCTGTGGCCCTTTGCTGCATGTCAAACCTCCCTCTCTCTCTTTCTCACCACTTTCCTGTCACTCTTCAGCTCCTCTGTCAAAATAAAAGGCAATAAAAAGCCCAAGAAATAATCTTTTAAAATAATCTGTTGTGTTCTTGTGTACATATGGAGAGAATTTTCTGCTGTATTTGGGTCCTAAAGGCTGATTTATACATGTTGAACATCGTCTCTATGAAGAGCATACACCGTAATCTATTACTGTCACCTATACCGTTATGAGCATTTATACTTGTGCTTCTATTTATGCTCCTGTCACAGTTGCTCTTCAAATAGCTCTGCTAAATGCTAGTTGGCTTTGGGGATTCTAAGCTACTGTATTGATTTTTGACTGAAATTGAAACTCTCCCTCATCTCACTCCCCAAACTGTCTGGTGTTTTCCACGCTTCGTATTCCCCCCTCGCTGCCCGTGAAACGAAAGGACGAGGGAATATGAGGGGACAGACAAGATGCATGTCATGCAGTGAGGCAACGTCCCATGTGTGCCTGTTTGTCTGTGTGTGAGGACACACTTGTCTGAGAATGTGTGTGTATGTTAGAAAAGGGATTTTCAAACAGCATTATTAACTCCTCTGGGTTTTACATGAGTCACTTCCCATTCTCAGACAATGCACACACACGCACCAAGTGGACCAATCACAGTTGTTGCAGTCACCGCAATGTGTAGTTACATTTATGGGAAGGTACACATAGGCCTACGACGTACGTGATTATGCCGTACCTATGCCATACCTATGGCATCGATTACACGCAAAAGTATAAATCAGACTTAAGTTGGGTGTTATGCCATCATTAAAGTGTCCGTTTTTATTCAATAAATTCAACCTTTCTTTTCCAAATTTTCATATGTGATCTATAAAGCTACAGCTGTTTGACTTTATGCTTTGACAAAACAAACATGAGACCTCAGATCAACATAAGAACTACAAGTGTGCAACCCACTTTGACTTTTGCTGTTGTGGTCAGCAGATACAAGTTTTAGCAATATGTCCTATATTCTTCCAATGCTTGATCCTGAAGCTCATATTGTTATAAAATAATGACTGAATACATACTGCTGCCTTGTTGGAAGCAATAGCGCACACTGGACGCCCATTCTCCAACCCGTCCACGGTCTGGGTGTCAATCTAGGACAGAAAACATGCATTTAACATAAGCAGTTGAATATAATGCTGGTCTGAAATACTGTTGAATTTAATATAAATTACCTTGTAGTTGTGAGCACTGAGATATTTAAAATGTCCGAAGCAGACATGAGAGAGGCAGATAATGATTGTGATGATCAAAACTACGAACGTGAACATGGACGTTGCAGCTGAAAAACCTGGGGGAAAGAAAGTGGAGGGACACTCGTGAAACAGGTGCTTGTACTGAATGATGCTTCAGACAAAGGGGCAGACGAACGGTAAATAAATTTGGGCACATGTTAGGACATCAGAGGCCTGTAGATGGAGTCCTCATCTTACCAGAGCGAACAGTGGAGAAGAACAGAAGCCAAAAAAGGCAGAGAATGGGAGCGGCCACCACTTGGTTGACAGCTCCAGAATGGATCTTCTTGTCCAGTTTGGATGGCAGATAGGCGTAGTACATGTTGTACCTGTCCGCTAGGTGCTTCAGTAGCATGTACATCAGTCCTGCACAGAGGAGGGAGATAAAATAATTAGTGGATCTAATCCAATTAGGCCTGCTGAAGAGCTTCTGTGTGGTGAACAGAACCACTGAATGCTCCCTGCCCACTGTGTGTTTATCCTGCAGGCGGCTAATCAGCGCACTATCTTGATGTGAAACAGCAGTAACCCAGCAGAACTCACCAAAAGGGACGATGATTGGGCAGGTGATACTGTAGGTCATAACCACGGTGAAGACACACATCATCCAGGCGTAAGCTGCCCCGAACTGGAACTCATAAGCTTGGTGCTATATTAAAGACACAATGATATGATTTTAAAGAAAATACCAAATCTAAACATCCTAATTTGAATATATTACATTAAGCTGATTAACACACAATTTTTTTTTTCACCAACCTAAAATCCTAGAGAATTTATTGACATTATGCATTTTATGACATTTAACTTGGATTTCTGATTTTAGCTTCTAAATTTGGCATGTGCTCAACAGTGACAATATTCAGTCCCCATTCAGTTTTATAGTAAAGTTTATGTAAGAGAGAAATCATAACCAGCTATTAATTACTACTTTATGATTTCAACTTTGTAGGCAGGGACGCACTAACCCTCTTGACGTTCCTCCTCTCTGCTGCAGAGCGGGCCAGGCAGAGGCGGATCATGTACATAAGTAGGCCGGGGATCCTCAGCAGGTCCATGGCATTACCAATGAATGCAGACGCAATGACATAGTTCACGAAGAAGGCTCCGTTGTCAGGAAGGAACACACACCTAGAAGGGCAAAGAAAAAAAGTCACTATCACTAAAGACTGAGGTCAGACTCACACTGAAGTTTCAAAATGCATTATTGCAGAAGCCAGTTTGAATCCAAATGAATTTAAGTATATGAGACCTAGTTGGGGTATTTCTAAATTAATGAAATTAGCTTCAAATAATGGTTCTTCTCAATATATTTAAACTAGATATGGTACCAAAGAAAGTGGACAGTTTGCAGTGTATATTTAAAGACATTTCATCCTGCTTTTCTGCTTCGTTCTGCAGTGGTCTGAGTTGTATGTAAAAAATAAAATGATGCTACTTACTCAAATCTCACTTTTGCATCCGCCAAGAATCTTCTGTCAAAAAGCCAGCGGAAGAAAACATCCAAACTGCAGAAACACAAGGAAACGGTAACGGAATCGGCTCAAATATTTAGTCTGACAAAAACAAATGTATGTATAGCTTTACATTTTATCATGTTGCAGGGCAGAAATCAAAAACATCTGATACCTGCTGAGTCCTAGAGAGGGCAGCAACAAGACCATAAAGATCAAGAAAGTGTAGCATTTATGCATTGTGGTCCTGTTCTCCCCTGACCTACAAAGGACAAAGGTAATATTCACATGTTAAAAAAACAGACAACACAGCCAAACAACCTGAAATAGCAATAAAGACAACGTGAATATGTTGAACTATTGACGGCAGGAAGTGTAAACCATACCGGGTCCAGTGGGCTTCGAAGAACGCAGAGTAGTAGACAATGGTAGGAAGTAGGGCGGAGAAGGACCACAGAAGGAGAGTAGGGAAGAACTGGGTAATGATTGGATTCTGGAGGACAGATCAAAGAGACATGTTGTGTCAGGAAAATGAGTGGTGAATTCCTGTGCTTCTGCAGCAACATGCAGACTTGTGATGGCTTGGACATAAACGCTCAGTATGGCAATGATAAAGATGCCTGAACAGATCCTTTACCGAAAAAAAAGAAAAAAAAAGAATTCTGAAAGAAAATCCAACAGAAAGCGTCTTTAAAATGTTCTACACTCACATTTAGGTACTCCACTGGTTTGGTAACATTGAACTTGTCCATGGTGGAGATGATGATGGCCGGTGTGGTGAGAAAGAAGAGGAGGATGAAGAGGACAATGTTGATGATCAAGCAGCGGATCCACCAGGAGAATCCTCCCACTGACAGATGCTCCCTGTGGGATGAAGGTTATGTAGCGGTTAGACTGACACTGGGCGAAGACCCGCAGTTATGGACACAGCTGGCCAGTAAACTGATACTGCAGCTCAAAAACTGGTTTGTCATCTGAGAGAGAGAAAGTTTCTTCAAAGTGGTCTAAAGAATAATTATTACTCAATTTGATATTAACAGCATCACAAATGAACAAGTCTGTGTTTGTAGAATTCCCTTTGGGTATTTGCGATTCTGTACTTTTATTCTGCCAAAATGTAACCGCCCTTTTCAATGGGTGCAGTTATGTAATTAATAACTAAATAAAATGCAGCCCAGTTTGCAGTTTGTGGACAGAATATGTGACCTGACTGTGTTCTTACCAGTAGACGTTTTGTGGATCAGGGGCGTAGCTGACAGTCCAGTTTTGTGTGTGGAGCTTGCCGCTGAATGGAGAGCTCTTGGGCTCCCGGCGACAGTGACAGCCCTGACACTTGCAAGCATTAAAGTCCTTCAAGATTCTGAAAAGAAACATCCACCCGACCAAAGAACAGACATTACAGTGGGTCAAGAGTTAAGTAACCATCAAATTAAAAACCAATGTCACACTCACAAATTACCAGTTACCACATGTAAATGTACTTACATGGCAGTTATGGACTCGTTCTGGAAGGTGACAAAGGCCATTCCTAAGGGCTTCCTGTTAACCTTTTCTCTCTCCTTCCTTCCTTCTTCTTTTAGTTGTGACTCCAGCTTGGTATAGTAGCTCACTGCCTCTTCCTGTGAACACCATGAACATGGTTTTTTTTTTAGTTAAAAAAACAAAAATCATGACAACATGAGTTGATTTTAGTTATGTAATAACAGTGTAGATGAGTAGTTAGATACTGTGAAACAGCAACAGGCTAAGAAAAGTTGTTAATGTTGTATTTTTGGTGTAATTTTAAATGTTACTTGTTGTCCATCTTGGTTTCTAAACTCATGGGACCCTTTTACTCAATGTGATTTGGAGATCCATAAATAAAGGAAATAAAAAAACGACACACACAAGACTAAGACCTCAGAAAAAATTGTTATAAAAAGATGAGAATTGTGCTTCAGTTCACTAATGAGATGGGTATGGCCAATTTAATTTTATCAAAAGAAATCGCAAAATTCTTCCATTTATGCAGTGATTATGTAGTTACATTAATCTGTTTTCCTCATCCAACCATTTAGCATGTGTCACATGACCTTGCAGCTATAAACAAGCAGCTTGCATTGTTACCAATAATGCATCTTTACAGTATAGCCATATACAGTATGTAACAGTTGCATTGTGACCAAAACAAAAATGGCTACAATATACAAAATTATGTTTAGATGTGGGTTACAGATGATGCAACAATATATGGTTTCCTGGCTATTCTATGAGCAGGTACTGGCATGTTACATTGTTTAAATGTTTTTTTCCTGCTTAGGCCGATTCTCCACATTAATCTTTAAGTGTAGCGTAAAATCAGATAAATGCCTTCTTTATCTTCCCCTTTAAATACGCTGCTCGTATCATCCTGTTAACAGGTTTCAGTAGTGTGTTGTTTTGAGATAAAGCTAAAATATGTCTGACCTGCTCACAGCCTTTGATTACGCAACAGCAAAGGTGTCCACAGGGTTTCGGATTGATCATGGTGGCAATGTGCTCCTTGGCCTGCAGGTCAAGGAAGAATTTCTTGCTGCGCTCTGTCTTCTTCCTGCATGCAAAACATCAGCTGTGTCAGACTGAGGCTCAGGTCCTGGAGCCAATGAAAGACTACAAACGTACATCCCCCAGGGCAAATGCACACAATCAGACACTTATGGTTAAAACATTGTTACCTCTCAGAGTTCAGATACATCAGCCTGGCCACATCGTAACAGATACGAGCTTCCAGTACAACACAGTTTTCATACGCCTGCCTGTGAAAAAATGTCAGGAAGGGAGAAGTAAGTATGTTGAAAAAGCACAAATGAAGACATATTAGAAAGTCCCAAAAAAGTAAAAATCCAACAGTCACAAATAGTAAAAGGCTTTCATAGTTTTTCTTTTATACTAAAAGTGTCTTTCTTTCTTTTTTTTTTGCAGTGCACTAACAAAGATAAGATTTCGGTTAATACCATTTGGCTGACTAGGAGTTGAGCCAAACACCCCTTCCTCAGTCCTCAACCATCTTGACACATGACTTGCATGCTCGTGCTCATCTGGCTTCTATTACGGACAATTACACATATAGGCCTGTCATTGTCTGATTCCAAACATATCGCCAGGACAGGACAGCTGCTTTTAACAGGAAAAGGCATGGCCCTTATACACCTTAATACAGTTACTGCACAACTTCGTGCCATGTCGACAGAGCAGTGTATCATTTTTATGAGCAGACAGATTTAAGCGTTCTGAGATATTAACTGTGGCGCCAGGATACCAGTGATCCTGGATGGTGCTTACTCAAAGTGTTGCTTTATCTCTGACTCCTCTGCATATTTGGAGATTCCATTGACAAATAAAGTGCGTTTCACCTGCATGGAAATGAAGACAGAGAAGTAATTACCAACAACATCAGACCCATGTGCAAGGAGTGTATACAAAATAAAAAGCAATTTTCTGAAGCCATGCCACCCACCAGGTCATCCTCCTTGTAGTGCATTTTGGAGGTGTGCCGTCTCATGCTGTACACCGTCAGTAACAGGTAGAGAAATGCAAAGATGGTGTGCAGCCACAGTAGTGCATTACTGAAGAAAAAAAGGGCAAAGTGACAGCATTAGAAAGGGGAGACTCAACATAAGGCCTCAAAGAACAGTGTATAATATATCTATAATAAAGTAGTGGTATATGAATTACTCACTCTGCATCCAGATTTGCTATAGTGGTTCGCCCAAAACTATAGGCATTGTTTTCTGTAAAAAAAAAAAAAGAAATAAATAAAAAAAAGATAATCACTTGTTAATCACGTACAATTCGTTCAACATATTTACTTGGTGTGTTATTATTTGATATAATAAAAGCATGCTACATTATACAGTTCTGTACATGTCTTAAAGTTTACAACAATTCTTTGGGTGTTAAGAAAAGGTTGCAGAGCCTTGTATACTTTTGGTCATGGGAAGGCAGTTTCAGTCAGAAGACAAAAACAGCAAACAAACATAACAGTGACAAGACAGTATCATCTAGTCAAACAAAGAAAGCAAAACTGAGAAAAAACTGAGAGTGAACTGAGTCACTACTCAATTTCTAAATTCCAAATCGACTCACCAAGTAGGTTTCCCGAGAAGTTAACTGGCAAGATGATGCCCACAGAGAGCACGCCCACCACTACCAGCAGGCCAATGATGTGGCGCTGGAAGGACAAGTAATGTACTGCATCTTCACCACACTTCTCCCTTATCTCCTCATCCCTACAGAGAGAACACAGATACAAAGTGAACTACTACTACTTAAGAGGAATTCAAAAACAACGTTCTACCAACTTTCTTATTTCCAATATGCTGTGAGTAGTCTGACTCACTTGATGCGGAAGATGGCAGTTAGCCAGGAGCAGAAGCCCTAAACAAAACAAAAGAGAGAGAAAGAACAGAGGTGTTGTTCCAGTTACCACATAACATATATAGTACATCATAGATGAGACATTATATTTTATCCTGCAATAACAGCAGCGTACTTACATTGTCTCTCTGCTCAAAGTCCACAGAGCTGGAAACTGATGTGAGGCGCTCATAGCGTTCTTGTGTGTCTGACGTCATGGCAGAGGCCATACTGTATGCAGAAAACAGAACACATAGTATTTGTATGATGTTGCACTACAACTAGCTCAACACCAACATGTACTATAAGGGCATGTTAGTTCTTTGTGTCTCAGTAGAGTAGGATTACCATTAGTATAGAAAAGTTGACAACACAAAAGACACACACAAACACATGCCCTGAAATGGACTGAAGAGATTTACCCCTGTTTATCCTGTGTGGGCTGAACACAGGATTTGGGTTGGTAAACCACTCAACCACAGGAACAATCTCTGCAGCCACATTTCATGTCGCATTAGGACTGAAGAGCCTACTTTACACAGGTTGAGTACACCATCACTGTCAGAGGAAAGGTTGCGATAAAAAGTTAGAAGGCAAAGCTCTACAGAAAACAACATTCACAGAGGAAACAGAAACCCAGTGACCATCAAGACAGAGAGTTTGTAGAGTTTGTCCAGCAGAGCCACAGGTTCTCCTGAACATAAAACAGCATCAAGACCTTATTGTGTACTGTAATTTGATTGACCAGGGAGGTCATTCCAGGTCAATTTATAAAATGTAAAATACGAGGAGGACCAAGGCTCTGCTGGAATTCTAACATTGGTTCAGTGTTCACTACCACATGAAAGGATGACGTTAACCAGGGCTCTAAGAGATCTGCAATGGAATGAGGAGAGGGCCTGCGGCTGTAATCCACCATCAGTCCTCCTCTCGCACATTCCTGTGAGAAGTGGGAATGGTGGATCTCAGTTCTAGCAGACAGGATACAGTGGAGCTGCACCATGTTGGGGCCTGTCTATGAACAACAACAGATCAGGGAAGCATTACCTCTCTGAGTAAGCATCCCGTCTGTGCGGCTCATTAAGCGCGTTCACACAGAAGTAGTCGGTGCTTCATAAAGAGGTCAATACACAGATTAGCACACACAGATCTGATTAGGGCAGTAAGAGAGGACAGGGACACCCAACAGCAGAAATACAAGAGTGACAAGGACAGGGAGAATAATTAGGAGCCTGGCACTGGGAAATGCCTGGAGGAGAAAAAAAGGAGTGAAAAAGCGGCTGAAACCCACAGCGGCCTGGGCAGAGTCAACCAGAGTTGTGAGTTATGTTAACTAGAGAGAGGGGAAAGGAGTGAAGAAAGAGAGTGAGGCTACAATATGGAGAGATAACATACTATTCCCGATCATCCAGGCGACTGTACCGTTGATCCACTCTTCTGGTGAAAAGAGAAGCAAAACAAAGCCATTCAGCTGAGTTAAGAGGAAATGGCCCTGTTTGGCCAGTAAGGGTGCTGGTTAAGAAAAAAACTGGGGAAGCATATTACACCACAGGCATACCAATGAAGGCTTCTGTTCATTCTGGTATATGTTACCCAGCCGTATAAATGCGTTTAAGGCCTATGGTATAATAACCTTTTCACTCATTTCATTTGAGTCGTGCCTTATGTAGCTGGAACAACAACAGACACCATTTATTACCAATTTGTGACGCTTCAACAAGCCTCCCGGTGAGGTGACATTAACGTTTCAGAAGTTACAAGAATTTAAAAGACAAGACGTTGACCTCAAGTCAGCGCAGTGTCATGAGACAACACTATATTTCCTGTCTGTTACAAAAGTGTCCCATGCTGCCACCCCCCTCTCATCCTCCCACCGTGCTGCAACCCCACTCTCTGCTCACATGCAGCTGCGAAAATAGTGAAGCTGCAACATCACACGGACGCAGCAGGGGGATGTAGGTGATGGAGCACTGTGTCATGTACTTTCCAGGGTTCACAGTCAAAAAGAGCGTCTGTAGCAATCTGATCTCCCGCTCGCCCTAACTTGATCAGTTTGCCTTTTTCGCCTCGTGGCGTACCGGTTTAAAAAGGAGCAGTGGAAGCAGTCCCTGTTGACGGGCGCCTTTTTGGCTACTTCCACGTCTATTATCACCATTCAATCAGTCTCAAAATATCCCAATATATCTGGGAACACATCATCACACCATAATGGGGAGCTACAGTCCATGGGGCTTAGACGTAGACAGTGGCTTTTAAGTAGACGGGGAAATGGATCTATTTATATTTCAATTGATAACAGTTACTAATCATTTGTTTCTTCTTCCTCTATTTCAGGGTTTTTCCTACAGCGGTCTGGCCTGTCTATGTCAAATGTCACATGTCAAAGTGAACAAACCGTGTAACAAGTTACAAAGCAGGACAGTGTCAGAGTGCATCATTGCCATTAAAAGGGAAACTGCTGACACTGACTTCCTGTCTGGGGAACCATCCTTGTAGGGTCGGAAAATGTAATTGTTTTTAAGTGTCAGCTAGCAACCAGAGTGAACAACCACCAAGTGCTTAATACTGGTCACATTTTGTTCCCGTAGACCAACGCACACTATTTAACCATAGGCGTATCATATCAGTGTCAAACTGGCTCCACAGAAAGTGCTGTAAAGTACAAACCCTGACAAACAACACAGGCTTATTTATCCTGCAACTGGGTCAGTCATCAAGATTTATAACAGCGTGTTTGTCAAACATCTCAAAACAAATTCCTTAGCACTTCACGACAGATCGCAAATACTAGTATGTAACTAGTATTTCATTTATTTATATTAGTACTACTGCAATTTCCCAGCATCTATCTATCTATCTATCTATCTATCTATCTATCTATCTATCTATCTATCTAAGAGAGGGAGTAAAGTTTAGGTTAACACAAATGACCACAGATGTATTATTAATTATTTTAGGTGGTAAAAGATCATTTTGGAAGGTTATTTAGGTTAGCAGTTAACTTTGGACAATGGCGTGTACCAAATTATTAACCACTACTGTGCATTCAGCACTTGTTACATGTATAAAGAGACTGCAAAGTAAACATATCAAATTTCAACCATAGTTGATCAGTGCATGTTGGCCTAACAAATCAGAAAGCCTTGGTACTGGACCTTCCAGTGTGGACCAGCGTGTTTTAATTACCTGTCAGCGTCAGTCACCAGAGCCAGGCGCCCATAGTCCCATGCTACTTTTCTTAAGAAGGAGAACACCACCAGCAGCCCCTAGAAGCACAAAATAAACAGCGACTGTCAACACCTCTAGTCCCTTTATTTACAATACAGAGGGCTACTGAATGAACGTTACATAACTGCTTGAAGGCGTTTATCATTTAAAAACACACCCACTGAAGGATTTCAACTCAATTCTAAGGGTTGTGAAGAAAGCACAAAAACTGAAGGGCTCGCACTGCATTCGTGATAAGGCTATATAGTTGTTTGACGCAAATAGTGCTAATCGGCTGTAGTAAGTGGGCACTCCGTTTGACTGATTGAGGACTCACCAAGAAGAACATAAAGTCAAGGGCAAGGACAGTGGGCACACCGCCAAAGGGCAAGCCCTGGAGCACTGTGCTGCGAATTCGGGCCGAGTAACAGTAGTCCCTGGAGGTGTTACTGGGCGAAGGCGTCGGGCAGCTCTCCGAGTCGGCGCATCCTTGCACCGCCCCGGTGGCCATGATTAATATCAACACTCTGTGCATCACTGCAGCATCTTGACAGCCTGTTGGGAAGAGACAGAAGTGTTAGAACATCAAGTATGCTAATTATTACTATTGCATTCTAGCGTAACAGGTCACACTGTCTGTAACATCTATCGCACGGCCTCACGCCACACGTCCATTTTCACACACAGGGGGAAAACATTAATAACGGCAAAGCGGCAGAGAGAGACAATGAGGACATCAATATTGTCTTCCGAGAGTCGGTGAGTCAGTTTCCTCTTTTCGTGCCGTCAGCTGTGAGTCTCGCGGTCAATTTGTGAAAGTTGGCAACCCTGTTCAACGACGGTGACTCACAATAACAACAAATAACTGATTTAATTAACTCCCTTAAGTGAACTGCCTCATAGGTTTTAGTTTTATTTAGTTATCATTGTGGATTTCCCATGTTTTTTTTCTGTCTGTTCACACTGCTTAGAAAGATTCTGGCGCTTTGATGAATGAAACTTGTTGCCCGTACTCTACAGCATTGATAACAATGCATTTTAAGTTCACTGACCTTCTGTCTTGTCCCTAGTCACATGCCGTCGCTTTTGATCACATGCGTCACAACTGAAACACTGTTTTAAACCATTAAACACTTTTTGTTCCTTGTTTGTGGCCAATATACGTGCAAACACATAGTTCCACTTGTTCTAAGAAAAATAACTGCAGTAAGTGAAAATTTATTTGCAGTACCGACTGGCAATTCCCTATTTCCATCCAGAGAGAACAACACTGGTGTCGTATCGAGATATGGTTTTAGTTAACTGGGAAATATAGACCAACACTCACTCTTGTTTTGGTTCTGATTCTGTCCCCCTTCACCTGAAACACATCTGTGTCTTTAGCTCACAAGATCAAGTCCAAATGTCTTCTTTTGCTTTGTCTTGCCTGAGCTTGTTTACGCTGCAGCGTACCGCGCGGTATTGGGGATTGGAGGAGAACAGTGACTCACCCACGCAGTCTACGTTTGGGTCAAAGGAACACAACAATGGGCCATTTAACTTTTAATACAGCTTTGGGAGTCGGCTGTCCAACTCTGACGCATCACGCCTAAAAGCTGTGCCCTGCTGGAGAAGCCTCACATCTTATTCTCTTACCTTTCACTCTTCCCTCTGGTCTCCGATGCACTTCAGTAAGAGACAACAAGCAGTTGATCTAGAAGGCTACCTGAAGGCTAATGATGGAAAACATTGACAAAACATTAATAGTGTATGAGACCTAATAAGTCCTAAGAGAAATGTATCTGAACAATAACACTGATCCAAGAATAAGCCCCAATGATTTTAGCACTTTACTCAAACCTTAGGAATTCAAACTGATTGGAAAAATAATCCAAGAATAACAGCTGGTCCCGAAACTCCTTCCTCCCCCCGGCACACAGCAGACGTCCTAACACTAAGGTCCACACTTACTGACTCTTGGTGAGGAGTTAAATGACCATTTAAACTCCAAAGCAGATATGAGGGGCAGGGCAAAACAACTGCTTAGATAAAAACACTTGCAATCGAATCAATACCTAGTCATCTATTGACATATCAGCAGAAGCTTAAGATGAACAATCCATTCAGGAGTGGCAAAACACAACAGAGTTCATAGTGGATAGAGTGATAGCGTCTCCAGCCTGTCCTGATCGTACTGCCTCCATTTCCCAACAACGTGAGGTTTCCAATTTCACTCTGACTGAACGAAGGGGTTGGAGAAGGCGCGTAGGTGTTCTGGCGAGTGTTTGCACAGTTGCACTGCTATACTTGTGCCCTTCGACCCACTACTACCAGCAGCAGTTCACGCCGCTGCTCATCTGCCCTAACACTAACTCATTTATCCGCTCTCTGGTATGCTGTGACATCAGTGGGGAGGGACGCGGCCAGAGCCGAACAATAAGCCGATAGAGACCGCAGGGTTCAAATGGACCGGTCTCAACCCAGGGAGGACACAACACACCGCCCTGTGCCTTCGACCACACTGCTGCACATCCTGGACCCACTGCCACGGTTCACGCTGTTTGACATTCAACGCCGACGTCTTGAAAAGGACGTGAGCACAAGTATTGTGTTTTTCTGTTTGAATGAAGAAGTATCTTTACAATATATACAGTATACATTATCTATCTATAAATATCAGGATTCAGGAGTCAAGGATGATAGTATTCAAGGAAAACATGTGGTTACAAATAGTGTATTTCACTGAACCATTGTACCATCAGCTGTTGGGTTTCTCAA